GGGGAGGGCGCGCCCCCCGGTCATTTTAGAGAAAAAGCCGCTAGCCAAGCAGCAGGGTCACCCACCGGCGAGGCCAGACTGTGACCCGTGGGACGTGGGGATCTCAAGTCAGGGCAGGCAACTGCTCTGGGAAAAGCCCTCTGCCCAGCCACAGCACGCTGCAAACAGCAGCACTGGGAGCATCTCCCCAAACCCACACTCCTTGGTCAGAGAAGTTCATTCAGTCCACATGTGGTTATTTTACCCCCGTACTCTCCTCTCTTTGGAAAGACACAGCTAGCAGAGCCCAGATCCCCTCTCCTCCTCCTCCACCTCCTCTCCCCCCTCTTTTGTGCATCCCAGAGTTTTGGGTTGCACGAGACGACCAGTTGCATTAAGTGCCTTGTCAGATAAAAGGACTTTGGATCAATCAATCCAAGCTCTGCTCAAGCAAGTGAGTCCTACTTGGTAGTTATTCCCTGATGAGCTTTTGGGTGTTACTGGGACTGGCCATCAGCAAGCATGATGGGGGTTTAACTGGTAGCTGTGTTTCACCACGGGTCTGTATTAACCTGTACGAGTCAAGCCTCCTCTGACAGCGCACCAGCATGGGCAAAGCCACGTCGCCATCTCTGCTGGGCTCTGGCTCGCGTGTGGTGCTGCCTGCGCCGCAGGTTGCCTTGTGCTTCCTCGACCACCCTGCACGGTGCCCACCCTCGGGCAGCACCGGTGGGTCAGACAGCAAGGGGGACGCTGGCCCGGGGGCTGCACACCGCTCACGTGTGCAAGGTGGCCCGTCTGGCCCGTGCACTAAAAGCGATGGAGCCACTTAGTGCGTAAGCCCCGGGCAAGGCATCTGACCCCTCTGGATTTCAGCTGAGGCTCCAGTTAATCTGGTAATAAACAGAGCCCCATGGAAACCTGGAAGCACAGCAGAGCAGCGCTTGCATGGGCAAATACATTAACCCTTTGCTTCTTCACCTGCTTCAAATAAAAAGTCAAAACCCGACTGACAGTTCACCTAAGCACAAAATTAATCACGATCACCACTGAGGAAAAGCTAAGCTAGCACAAGCAGAGAAGTGAGCTTTGCTTTGCATCAAAAATCAACTCTGCAATCCACTCAGCTCCGAGGTGCAGGAGCCTTGCAACCAAGGGCTAAGGAGCAGAAATTACTAGTCCCCATGGCCACCAGGCAGCAGGGCCACAGCCGCCTGCTCCTCCACGGGATGCCTGGACCCTCCCCAGTCCTGGCGCTGGGAGCAGGGGGTCTCTGCCAGGACTGGGATCACAGCACACAAGCAGTGCCGCCCAGTCCCTGACGGCGGAGGGGGTCTGAGGACCAGAGCACAGGGCTGAGCAGGGCAGGGGTTCGGGTGAGCTATTTTTGCTTCCTGGCTGAAGGCTTCTGTGTGGCTTTGCTCTCACTGCAGAAGCAGATGTGGGCTGCTGAGCCCACAGAAAGGATTTCTGAGCACTAATTCTCTGTTACACAACAAACCTATTTTCCTCTGGCACTGAGCAGGAGCTGCCCTCCCCGTGCCAGCTCCCTCTGCCAGCCCTCCTTCCCCAGCAGCCTTCCTCAGCACCCTCTCCATGGGGAAGCAGACTCAACAAAACCCCGAGATGGCCAAGAAGGGCTGCATGGCCCACGGGGTAATCCTGCTCCTCCGGGAGACTGGCAGCCTTTCCACCACGTGTGTGGAAAGCAGCAGCAATGCAGTCTGGTTGGGTCTTCCTCACAGGGGCTTCCCCAAAAGGCAGCAATGCCTGCCCAAATACAAGGGTGGGGGGCTTGTTTCAGGAATACATCTGCAATATCGGAGGGTAAAATCTGTAAGCTGTCGGTTACCTTATCAAAGCAGCTTTGTGTGCTTCTTACTCCTAACGAAAGCTGAAACTGTTTTCAGCAAAGAATAAATGTTTGGTAGCATTGCTGTAACGCAGTCAGCAGTGAAAAGACAAGAAGGCAAAAGCTCCCCTTTTGGGAAAGAGGCTGTCCTTTGAGCCTTTTGTTTCAGGAGTTTGGTAGGTACAATCTCAGGTGGCTCCTTAAAAAAAAAGTGGAAAGCCCAATGCCTTTTGCTATGAGGAAATAACTGTAGTAATCCCCAACAGGATTCTTCCTCACTTTCCCATATGCTTTTCAAACAGGATTACTTTTGCCAGCATTACCAGCTGCTCCAGGAATCCCAACCTCCCCTTGGGCTTCCCGTGCTGCTGCAGACGACGCATGCGGTTTCCTGGTGTGTGGCGTGCCTGGGTAGGTATCCCCTCGCAGGACCACTGACCCTCCTACTGCTGTACCACACGACTCCTCACATCCCTGCGGAGCCGGCATTTCTATGCGGAAGCTGATGTTCTCTCTTAGGCCAGCTACGTGGCTGGAGGTAACACGTGCCATGTCACAGATTGCAGGAGTCTCAAATAAAACGGGCAAACAAAATTTAGTAAGAGAAGCACATAAGTAAAAGCTGGCTTTGAGCAGCAAACTGCATCTATCTAAATAAACATGACTGGGATGTGCAGTGCTATCTTCTGCATTTTTATTAAATGTTGACAGTTATTAAATATCTCCGTTGGAGGATTCGCCTGCAAAAGCCAATGTTGCTTTTCATTTTGAACTTTGATGAACTGTCTCAATTCCGACTCACACATCTGCTGAACTGCAATTGACTGAGGCTGATGCTTCTGAGGGATGGAGGGAAATCAATAAAGAAATGTCACGGGAGAGGTCAAACCGAGCCGGGATTCACCACTGGCCGGTGTGCTCGCCGAAGGCTGGAGGGACACAGCAGTACCCAAACAAAGGGAAATGCCGAGGGGGGCTTCTGCCGCTGAAGTGTCAGGAAAATGAATCTTTTTTGCTCCTTAATTGTATTCTGATTCTCAGCTAGGAGCCGTCACTGTAGGACTGCGAGAAGCAGTTGGGAAATGCAAGAATAGAAAGGTGCGTTTTCCTCAGGATTTGGGAAAAACTGCTATTTGATATTTCTGAATCTCCAGCCAGCAATGTAAGCTTTCTTCTCCATCCACTTTAATCCAGTTTAAAAACAGGTATCAGACTGTCATGGCAGCTCAAAAGCCCAGAAGCAGTACCTGGTGTGTAATTCCCTATCGCCTCTAGGAAAGCTAAATCTGAAACACACCCAGCTGCTCTCTGGATGTAGATTATTAGCTGGGGCTCCAGTAAGTTGCACCCACTTTGTGCATCTTGTTCTTGTAACAGGACCACACTTTGAATACTGAAAATCTCCTTAATTTCCTGCAAGTTACTGGCCATTTTCTGAAGAAAACTCAAAACAAGAACAGGAAACACAGGGGTTTAGCTGTCCAGTCACACAGCTCAGCGGCCGTTGTTTCTGCTGCATTTCGCTGTCTCTAAGGCAGACACCAAACTCCTTTAGGTCTGTCCCATCTTTGTGTCTTATTTATAACACTGCGCTCAGCACAGAGCTGCCCTGCAGGAACCGCTAGGGCACAAAGAACAGCAGTAGGTATTCACCAGCCCACCCATAAATGCTGTAGGTGCCTGTGCCGGTATTTTACTGAGCAGCTGCTGAGGAGGAGAGTATTTCCAGTAACAACCTCCTGACACGCAGAGGCTGAGCAGGAACCAAGCTCAGCTGGCTGCCTCAGCAGCAGCTCACTCATCGCATCAGCCTGGGGAGGACCGAGGCCAAGTTCCCCAGCTGACCAGCTTACTCCAAATTTTGAGGGGGCTTTTCTGCACATCCTGACCTCTGTGTCACCAACCACAATTGACAACAGGACATGGGGCTATTTGGACAAACAGCCTGAAGAAACACAGCACACTCCGTCTTCTGGCATTGACAGCTCCACAGTCACTGTGCACCGACATCCCAGTGATCCCTTGGATCCGCTGCTGCCGAAACATCACCAAGCGGTTTTTAACACGCTCCCCCAAAGAGTGTGGGGCTGAGACCCAGGGGAAGCTGCTCCTTTCGGGGACGGGCAGGACTGAGGGCAGGTGGCCATGGGAACGCCCAGGGGCAAGCAGGACAATAGCCTGGCACACCCAGGGGGAAGGATGGGGCGAGGTAGTAGGGCAGACCTGAGCCCAGGTTGGTCTCTGCACTCCTTTTTTTGGGGGGTCTTTTAACCGAAAATGGACCCCGTCCCAGTCATCCCGCTGGTGGGGGCTGTACTCACACTTGGCGTGGCGGTCGCAGAGGGCGGAGGTGCGCATGTCGCACAGCCGGATGGTGCCTTTGCTGCTGCTGTAGACAAAGGTGTTGCAGTGGTGCGGGTGGAACTCGGCGGCCGTGATCACCTCCGTCAGCTCTTCCATGTTGGCTGGCTTGATGTCCACGATGTCTGGCAGGGAGAGTCAAGGAGCCCCATGTAGCCCAGCCCAGACCCTGCTCCTCTCGTGGGTCTCCTCCCGCTGCCCCTCCTGCTGATGTCTCCAGGCACCTGGGCTTCCCCTCGCCTCGTGCAAACGAGGTGTTCCCGGGGGAGCAGCACCATCCCGAGGCAGAACCGCAGTGCTGAGCCGGGACCAGCCAGCGCCAGCGCAGGGGAAAGACAA